CCCTGGCTTGACAGAGACTTTGGTAATGGTGGTGAATGTATCCTTTTTGAATCTCCAGTAATAGTCGCATTTATCAGGGATCTCACGCACAACCACTTCCACCTTATCATCTGTTTTATTCAACATATTTTTGTAAATCACCTGACCAGCAGTGGGTAAACCGTTTTTGTAAGCATCGGGAAGAATGAGTTCAATTTGCGATTCCTCCAACGTTCGAAGTTCGGTAATTCCAGAACTGAAAACAGATGAAGCCGTGCCTTCTTCTACTACTTCCACAAACACGGCTAACCTTTCATTCCAACTTGCTGATTTGTCTTTGACCAAGTGCAATGTGTCCACCGTAATGTTTGTACAGCTGACATCGTCAAGAATACCATTGACGCGCGTACAAAGGCGTACCACTGGGCTAGAGTTAGCAACGCATTTATTCCTTGGAAACATCCTCGCTTCTACTTGTTGTCGTTTCAAAACACTCCCATCACAAATACAGATTTGGGCATCATATGTGCCACGGATGAGTGGACCGTTGATGTAGGCAGCACAAACACCGATCTTTACATCCGACCTTGACAAATCAATAACACCTGGCAGCTCAACGTGGACTCGAAACAGTGGCAAGACGTAATGCCGTACATTAAAAAACACCACCTCCTTTTGGTGTCTCACACAGGCTTCAATTTTCCATTCGCCCTCCTTTGCATCCCTAATGAGTTTATACACTAAGTTGAGAGCGTCTAATGGTCGAACGTCCTTCCATTGATACAAAATGTTATTAAGTGGATCCTTTATCTCAATCAGATCAAAGTGAGGTGCTTCCATCCTTCTCTCACGCTCACCTGGATCAATGCGTTTTAGCACATTTTCCGCTGAAGACTCGCTAACAGCCTCATATTCAGGCCACATAGTAAGCTCGGAGTATGGCAAGATGTGACGACTTGTTAGCGCAATGAGACGGAATCTCACCTGTTCTCCAGGTCGATAGAGTGGTTTATCTGTCTCTCCCATGATTACAACAAAGTGTTGCACCATTTGAACTGTCTTAGTAACGCTTTTATGCATCAGTTCGTCCACATTCGTACAGATTTTCGATGGGCAGTAGAAGTAAGTGATTTGAAGATTGAAATAACTTCCAGGCTTGACTTCAATTGGCACGCAGTACTTTAAGTCATACTTGTACCTCTCCTCAATAATTGACTTGTTTCCATCCATTTGATCAAAAATTGTCACTCCTACATCTTGGGTCAAAATATTGTACAAAGTCATATTTATGGTCACTTTATAAATGGGTTTCTCGGACTGAATAACAATTCTGTTAGGTATGTCAACGAATAGTTCATGAGGTAGGGATATCGTAACGGTATTACTGGAATCTCTATGCTCCTCTGAACTTGATGAACTCAGCGAAAGGCCTGCGATTGCTGTCCACAAAAGTCCGAGCACCTGCCAGCCTAAACATTGCATGTTGACGCGTATGTATCGCTAATCTTGTGTTAACATTCATAAACATCGACATTACTTGCTGCAGACGCCCAATTGGTCGCCAAATCTTAGCGACCAATTGGTTAGGTTGTGGTCCATTAACGTAGAGAACAAGGGGTCGGCATGTGTTACCGCTGTAACTCCTTAAGCTTACAGTGTGTGGCATATTAGTTTTAGCCAAAATATTAAAATCACTACCAGAATCAAAAAAAATAACGACCATGATTCAAATTTCGATACCTTTATATGTGCACTTTCTGAAAAGGCATTTCGATAGCATTGCTACA